TCTTCTTCTTCTTCTTCTTCTTCTTCTTCTTTTCCTTCTTCTTCAATAAAATCAACGTTTACAATTGAAAATAACTCTGAAGATCTTCAATGCTATCAGCGAAAGATAGATTTGACATTTTCAAGGGGTTTGAATGTATTAAGTGTCCCATTTTTCCCTGCAAAAATGATAGCAAGACACTTCTCAGGCTGTATTATCATATTGTTTTGAATTCAGCAGTTATTTACAGTTGCTCTATAAAGGCATCCTCAACATTCAACATCCTGTGGAAGATCTGATCATCGTCAGTGAATAAAAGTACAGTATTAAATTTCAGAACAGTGGGAAGATCATTGTTAAATAGAATAAAAAGTAGAGGATCTAAGTGGGAACCTTGTAGTATGTCAGAGGGAACAGAATATCAAACAGAACAGAGACCATTTACCAAAGACACATTATTTCCTGGTTGTCATATATGTTTTGATCCCGGAAAGATGTTCACTATGTTCCTATTTAGCAAGTTTATTAATTAAATTAAAGTAATTCACATGGCTGAATGCCTTGGCAAAGTCAGTGTATCCTAGTATCAACTTGTAAAAGTTCTCCTAAATGCATAAATTTAAAAAAAATGCTTTTTAAAATAACTTATGGTGGTATTAGTAGACCTACCTTCCCTAAAATCATGCTGAGTATCTGGAAGAATAAGAAAGATGGAGTTAAGTCATAAACAGGATTTTGAAGAGCTTAGTAATTGCATTGTGTTGATATTGAACTGTAACTGGCAAAGTTGGATTTGTCACCATTTTAGTGTAGTTGGTTAATCTTACTGATTATACAAAATTTAGGAAATACTCTACACTTTACTTACACTCCTTTTTAAGATTATGATGAATATTCTTTCTTAAGATTTTACATTTTAAAATGTTGAAACAGAAAGTTATTACAAGAAAAAAAAATCCATTTACTAAGTATCCAAGTGTGTTACTGCTTACTACAGTGTTACCTGTCTGACACCTCAAAATAATTGTATTAACTTGTAATGAAATTGAATTTTTATTGTGTACAGGGAGCTGGAGATGCCACATCATCTCCTCAGCGCACTGATGGAGTATCTTCCAGTAGGGATAAACAAGCATCGCCAGAGGATACCAACATTGACACTACATCAACAACTTCCCGTCAGGGTCAGCTCCAACCAAGGAGGGGGCAGAATTCTAGTGTGAGCTCTGCTTCTGATGCAGCCACCCAGCGAGACAGTGAGTATTCTCACTCTTACCTTGCTCCAGGCCCCAGAATAGTAAGTACGTAAAGTTATAATCGTGTTAATCACTGAATAAGTATTTTGCATCTCTGCCTCATGTACCTGTAATGCGAGGTCGTTGACGAAAACAGTGACTTCTTGTTTTGAACTCTTCATCACTGTGAATCTGTTTTTGTCTCCGAAAGTCTTTCTATAGTATGAAAAGGTCATAATCAGATAGAGGCAAATTAGACCTCAATCTGGTGAGCGAAGGAAAAAATGTTTTGAAATGTGACATGATTGTTTGTTGGTACCTATCAAACACTAAAATCCTGGGCTGTGGGGGGTGAGCCGGAGGTGGGGGGCTCGTTTAAAGGTGATTTTTCTGTGATTTTTGCATATATCTTCATAACCATCAATCTTACCAAAACTTACTGCCTACATAAAATTAAAGTTGACAAAATTTTCTACAAAAATAGTCCTTTAAAGTTTTGGTGTAAAATTAAGTTATATGTTCAAAAAGCTCATCTTTATTTACAAGGCCCTTCTTGGTAGACATCTCGCTTATAATAATGATGTTAAGATAAGTTCAAAACGTGAATGGAATTTTATTTTTGTTCCACATTTATTAACAACATTTACTTGCATATTTTGCACAAAAAAACATGAACTTAAAACGTTTTATATCATATCAAGTTTTATTTTGTACACATTTATGAGTATTCGAAGTTATTCGGTCTGAGATTCCATAGTTTATTTGATAAGGGTTGAGTACAAATATTTGGTAAAGGATAGTGTACACTGTCAACATATGAATTGCAAAAAACATTATACGAATATAAATATCATAAAGAGAGTAATCACATTTACTGCTTCTGCAGAGAGACAACTAAATTGGAATGTCTATGACAAAGGACACTCTCGATGTTTGAAGCGGGGATCCAGGGAATTATCATTTGGATGTACAGTGATTGATTGAGTATGCTTTCTTTCTGCTGAGGTCAAACGATTTGGCTGTTAATGGCAGTCTTTCCAAAAAGAAACGTGGAAACAAAAGTATAATAGTATAATATGCTTGTGTACTGACTTTATGGACCCTGAATTATGTATGTAACTGCCAATAGGAAAAGGGCTGTTGAAATGCATAGCAAAGCAAATGGTAATTAAATGCAAATTTGCATTCACGCAAAAAAACATCAATTGAAGCTTCCAACTTGTGAATGTGTGTATTTGCTCAGGATCAGCATTACCTGCAGCTGTGAGAAGCCGTAGCACTGGGAGCACAGAGGCATCAAGTGGTAGTAGCAGTGCCACCAGCTCTACAGCAGATGCAGGTCGCAACCACTCAATGAGCTCAGAAGCTCAACCAGCCCCCAGGAGAGCGTCAACCACTGAGCCGATTGCTGTTCCTCTTGGTACCTAAACATGCATGATTCCTCTTCTCACCATTATAAGTGCATCTAGCTGAACCTTTGTGATTACATCACACAAAGGGAAGTACTGTAGAGAAAATGGAAACCTCTACAGAATATTGTTTCATGTTCTTCAGATCTTATTCTGTTATGAGGGAGGTTTACTAATTCTGGAACGATACAATCCCTAATCATTGTCAACAGAGAACATTGTCAACAGTTGAACATATTTTTGAATGCCTCGCATATTATAATCATTGATTCCTTTTTCTTTCTTTGAATTTAAATACGCTCAATCTTTGAACTTAAAAAAATTGTTATCTTTGTTTCGCTACCTCTTACTCACAGGTGCTTGCTGGGGTTAGACTAATGATTTATTGACGTTCTTGACAAAACTAAAAGATGTAATGAAAAAATGAAGGTCCAAAAACACTCATTCTTAAAATTTAGTTTTCTACCATAAAACTAATTAATAACACATCTGGGGCTCTCTTACCTTTCAATAAAAGCTTGAAAAGTGTGGAAGGCTCAAATTTCTTTCTGAATGAAAACTCTTAGTATTTTAAATAGAAAGATTTTCTTATGTGAATTATTTATGGATATCAGACTAAATTCCTGTTTCTTCCCTTAGAACATTTTTTTCGGCACCATTCATTTCTTTGTTTTGAGTAGATATTAACACATTACTTTAGGATGCTGTACTTCTCCAATATCCAGACATTTTCTTACAGACTTGCAAACAACAATCTTTGCTTATTCAAAAACTTGAACAATCTTCAGAATCCACTGTCTAAACTGAATGTAGAAGAAAGAATGTAATGGTTCCAAAAGTAGTAGTATCACTCACAAAGAGCAATATTTTCTCAAAACAGTAATACCATATGTACTTGAATATACTCTGCCCTCGAATATTACCTGCACCCTAATTGTACAGAAAGGAATTGCAAAAATGTATGTCTTCAAAAGACCCACTGATTAACACGGGTTAGTTCAAGTTTGGTTTTTAAGCCACTCATGAATACAACTTTCATCTGCATGTACACCGTACTTTCTTCCTGCTGTGTGGTTGAATCAGTTTTGACGCAAATGTTACCTGCACCCCAATTTTCAGCTAGCAATTTTTGAAAAAAAATTGTTCATTATATTCATGTCGTATTATATTCAAGTATATACACTCAATACCCCACAAGTGAGAGCATGTAAAGATAAAAATCTCAGTCAGCGGCCCTTTCAATGCGGGCAGAAGATGACGAGAATTCTCGTCCACAGTCTGCAAGATGTTAAAAAAAGTTGAAAATTGCAAAAGGATAGGATTGAAAATTTAATTTGTTCAAAGATATGCATACTGTTTAATTTTCTTTCAGGAATTACTGATCAGAAACCAAAATTACTGGAAGATGGTAAATGATGATGCCAAAAAACCAACAATTGGGGGTTGGCTAAAAGAAGGCCATAACCTGAATCCAATGCATTTATCATGCCAATATGCATTTATCCATAAAATATTTCAAGACGTTATTTAGGGGACTTTCTACCACCTCTTTGAGATTGTACTGCGCTTACCTCAATTAATGGTGTTTGAGAGCCTTTTGAAATACTGAATTGCGCCCTTTTCGTTACATTGTTACTTCTACGATCTTGCATCATTTCGTTTACCAGTGTTTAGATCATTGACAGGTTGGCTGTGAATACAGAATACATGTGAATTGGTCCAATATATCTGATTTTTCATTGGAGTATAGTGAGTTAAAGTCTTCAGATGAAAGTGATACATCTTCTGATGCTTTTTTATGTAGTGTTAAAAATAATTATAAAGGACAAAAATGGAAAACTTTTCTGAAAATCAGAAAACTAGAGTTAAAATATCCTAATTCATCTAGACGAAAATGCAAATCATTTTGTATTTCTGAAATTAATACATGCAGGCTTTCTTAGAATGAAACATTTATTTCAAAAGTAGCTTGTTCTAAAGAATAAGAGCGCAATTCAACATTTTCAAAGTAATATAATCGTCGTATTTGAGCATTTTAGTTCATTTTGTGTGTCTAATCAGTTTCTAGTATGATTTTTAGTGCGATAAATACATTTCTTTTAAAAATTTTCTGTGAGTAATACAGCTTGGACAGTTTTTCTTGATTACCTGAATTACACCTTGTTTTCTGAATTGCATCATCTTTCTAGTCAACCCCTGAATTGGAAATTGAATCATGACGAAAATATGAGGAATATCAATATTTGAATTTCTGTTAAAATTGACTGTGTGCTTGTTTTCGTCCACTGAAACTAATTACTGGCTGATGTAGTTAAGACCAAGCATTAGCATTTTCTTTGCAGCACATCTGACCAGGCAGGCCTAGAGTTTGAGTCACAATGTTGGCAGATTTTTGACAGTAATTGATCAGAGGTGTCCAACTTGAAATGCATCAAGGACCACAAATAAAATCTTTAATATGGTTGCGGGCCATTTTTTCATTACTTGGGTGATTCGCTCCTGACTTCTCCACAATGTTGATCTCGGCACTTTCTCCAGCTGCTCTGAAATGGGGGAGGGGAGGAACCAAGCTTGATATCAGGCTGTGCCATGTGACAGTGTACACAATGATTCAAATTGGCATGATTTTAATTATTGAATTTGCTAGAAAATATATATATATTTTTTTTTTAATCTAAACTTCACCTACTTTACATTAAAGGTGGTGTTGACCCAACGGGGCGTGTGGGCTAGGGGCACAATGTTCTCTCCTGACGTGGTTGCATGGGACTTTCCCTTTCGACTAATAACCTTTCACGGGTTGCCTGCAGGCTGCCAGTTTGACAAACCTGAACTAGATAGGTTGAATTCTGCCACTATTAGGAGAAACATTCTAACGGTCGGTGCTCTGATAAGTAGTTTTCTGTGATTTCTCTGATTACTACCTGGCGAATGGTGAAGCAAGTTTCCTATCAAAAGAGCCACAGACCTCAGACAATCTTTTTTTCTTCTTCCTTGTCTGTTCTTCTGTATCCTCTCCCCCTTTCTCAGATTCACACTAACACAAACACGTTTGTAAGGGAAACAAGCAGGAGCTTAGAGGGTTTCCTGGAAGGCAAAATCCCTTCCAAGATGTGCAGGTTGGCGCTTGATCTCACCCTCCACCTGGGAAGGAATACTGCCACCTGCCAAGATAATACATTCACTAAATGAACAAATGACCATAGGATTTGACCTGCTTGGAAACATCAATCAATCAACTAAAAGAAACTTTTTTGATATTGCTCGGAAAGCATAATTTATGCAGTAAATAGAAACATTATTGATAGGAGTATGAAGAGAAATATATTAAGTTTTCTGTACGTTCAAGAGATTGCTTATGTAGTCATTGAAAGCGTGATGTAATATTTGTAATGGAGCAGTGCTTTTGTTCTTGTAGCAATGACGATTTGTTTTTCTGTTTGCTGTTACAGAAACAACATCAGCCGCAAATAGTGCCTTAACAGCTTCTACAGATGCTTTGTCCTCCAGTGTGGTGTCTTGTTCTACAGCAAAGAAGAGCCCTCCACTGAAGGCAACTGAACAATCCACGTCTGTCACTGAAGCCTCAAAATCCGGAAATTCTAAGTCTTCTGTTTCAACTTCAGATTCCTCCCCTTGTGAGTAGATCTTCTTTTTCAGTATTACAAATCATCAAGTATCCATTATTGGGGGGGGGATCTTTCATTAATTGCATAATGAAATAGTGAGAATTAGTATATCAGCTCATAAAACATGCAACATTAATTATTACAGTGAAAACTTGTAAATACAAAACAATGCAGGGAGAAATAAAATGATGTTATTAATCATCAAATTAATTAATTAATGAAACTCGTAAATAACCTGCCTGGCCAGATTCAAGAAAACATATTAATACATTCAATATTATATTCTGTAATGTGTTCTACGTTTGAATTATTTTATTAATATGAAATCCTCTTTTAACAAAAACATACCCTTGAGTAAATTGTTGTGTCCCAGAGGCAACTATTCTAGAATTCAATTTTGGTTTCTTGGAAGTATATTCTTTGAAATAGGAAACACATTGACGGGTAGATGTAGTTCACGCATCAAGACTGGCATATATGGACAAGTTAGTGGTATTGTCAAGAAATTCTATTGACTGACGTTATTATCTTCTAAGTCATTTTATTGAAGAAATTGCTTCAGATTACCCATAGTTGTTATATTCCAGATATAAATTATTCCTAATTATTATTGTGTTCAATTCTAAAAAGAATATATTGTCTGTCTGCAAATTGCAATGGGCTACTACACGTGTGAGGGACTACTACATTTGTATTGGTTTTCATGTTAAGTAAACATATTTTAGATACAGAACATGCGGTCTTTTGGAAAACAAATATTTTAGATAAGTCTTTATTTACTAATTGTGATATATTCCATAGATCTGAACAAACAATTGCTATAATTGCAGCACTCTGATACTTATTTTCATTCAAAGCAATGGTGGCTCATAGGCTGTAATTGTGGAGAAGCAATATCTGCATTTACATTCTTTATACCGTGAAGTTAAAAAATATCCACTCATAAGATAATTATGTTGTAATATGATTTTGCTATACATGTGTTATATGTACATTGTATACATATGCATACACTCAATGCCTAAAAGAAGAAAAAAGAAAGGACTGAATATTAACAGTCAGTTTGTTGCTTGGGTCGGGCCACAATATGCTATATGCTCTGAGTTGAGGTATCTTGTGTAACGTCGAATAAGCTCAGTTGCTTGGGTTTCCAACACAACCTGCCATGGTTGTCTCAGCACTTATCCACATGTTCTGGCTTAGAATGGCAAGTTAAGATGCATGCAGTTCAAGATATTTTCTGCTAAGATCCCTTGAAATGTATGACTTCATGTAACAGAACAACAGTATGCTTGTTGTTAGGCTGCCAAGAGGCAAGTGTAAAATAAATGACTAAGGAAAAAAGGAGCGATAACAGATAGGGAAGTTTTAAACCAGTAGTTAGAACGTTCTTCTGTTACAATTGCCATGTTAACATTGTGATTTATGAATATAATGGTACTTCACTTTCTTCACGTGATGAGCCTCCACTGATTCAAAAGAAAAAATATTTGGGGCTCACCAAACCCCATAGAAGAAATTGGTTAGTTTAAGAAGTTGGTCCTGATTACAATGAACATGAATGCATAAACCAATACAGTATATTTACTAAAAGTAACAAATTTTTGTTTTGGTACATAACAATTATGAACAATTACAGCTCATCGTGCATCTGCTCCTACATCTGAAGCAGCTGTGAAACAGCCTCCTGCAGCTGCAGCTACTAATTCTACTCCTGCAAAAGGAACCAAAGCATCTAATCAGGCTGCCTCATCCAGTTCATCAGGAGATCCACCTGCAGCAAAGGCTCTGTGTAAGACTTCAATTTCCTCTGGTAAGACCATGATATGTGCTGTGAAAGAAATCCCTGACTGAACTTGCTAAACACCCAACGTGAAGTCAGACTGCTCTTGGATTATGCTCTAAACCTGGTCCTGCCCATAGGCGAATGAGTGACAATTCTCTGCTGCTCTCATTCTGGTCTGGTATCATTGTGGTTTCTCACTCTTTATAAGCAAGGTACATTTGGTCCTTTTAGTGCTGTGAAACCTACTTAAAGGAGTAATAAGATTAAGATTTTTCTCTCAAGTTCACTTGATGTAGTCAATTTAGCTTAATATTAATGAGATTTTCCCCACGCTGAAGGTAACTCAGGATGGTTAATTTATACATATACAAGTTTAAATAGGCCTGTAATTATGAGAATTCATCCATGATATTTAATTATATTAAATATTAGCATATAGCATACTTATTTCAACTAAAAGGTAATAAAGAGTTGATTAAAAATAGGATGTTTTTGCAGGGATATGTGATAAAATATTAGTACGGAAAGTGATTAATAGCAATTTTCTTAATAGTCCCCTTTTTGAAAAACTGCAAGAATTCAGTAAACTAAATTTCCACTAGTTACAATGAAAATTGGTGACATGAACATAATTTTACATGCCTGATGCCTCTGTTTGATTCTAAAAACCACAGGGTAGGGATGAGAATTCTGGGAATAAGTAACAATAAACCATGAAGTCTGTAGGAAGAAGACTCAACTTCGGTAGTGGAGGTATGTACCAAAAATGTCAGCAGCTACTTAAAAAACAAAATAACACTAGACCCTTTTTGCTTCAACGACAACACACAGCAAATCAAAGAACCACCAAGGAACCTTTCAAAGCAGCCAATGACACCAAAGCTAAGCGTTTCTTCCAGAAGTAATAATATATTTATTTATTAACGAGACACTATTGACAATAATAATATTAATAAATTATTATAAATTTCTCACATAAAAACAGCCTAAGCTATTTAAAGACCTGCCAAGAGAGCTGCAATTTTTTGCCTTACAATCTTCCAGATGAAAATAGCAATGAATCCAATCTGGTTCCATGTTGGCTAGCTCTACAATACTGCCCCATTACTACTTCTTTTCCATCTTTTTGTCTTGGATCAAACCATGCCCAAAGATCACCTCAGCAGCGCCAACTCAGTGCAACTGACCCAATGAATCTTGTCAAAAATTGGCCGAAAAAAGTCAAGATAAGTTCCTTTATTCATCGGGTGATGTCGCTGAAGTAAAAGGGATCTAGTTTTCTTTTATTTTTTCAAGAAGCTGCCGACGTTTTTTGTACATATTCCCATAATGTCCCCAACACCGGAGTTGAGTCCTTCCTGTAAACTTTGTGAAATAAAGCATGGCCACAGATATGGCTGCTCACTCGATTTCAGTTTCATTTCTTCTATTGTTGTGGTAGATAGGAAAGACACCTAATGTTTATTTCTTTGAATTAACAGAGCTTTTTTTCCCTTATCTTCCTGGAAGAACATCTGGTGTGGTACAATATCACTATTGGAAGCCTGTGTTATCTAAATGCCCTGCTACCATAACATTAGTGTTTTGGTTGCATCCAGAACTTGTTCCCACTGATTCAAGAATGTTTTAAAATTGTGTGAAGAATTGCGAGAAAACCAAAGTTTTGAGCTCCTAAGATAAAGATTGGGTTGTGCATAAATTATTGAGTATACACAAAAACATGGAGGTTCATTACCAGTAGGCCAATTATACTAATTGGGTGTTCAAAAACTGTAAATTATTTAAACATTTATTTTTAACCAAGAGAACAGGATATGCATATTTTTAAATGCATTTAAAAAACTTCATACAGTGTTAACTGTATTTCTCAATACCAGTGTCAGAGACCTCCTTCCTCTCACCTCATCCATCTAATGAAAATATCTTTTCTTCCAAACTTGTTGGAGACTATTGCCTCAGCCACTTGTGGAGCAGTTCGTTTCCTTCTATATTTGTTATAAACAAATTAACAATTGGTTTAGGTTTACACCTAATTGGTTTAGGAGCTCCCAACTTCCCGTAAGCAACTTCAAAGGGTCAAAGAACACTACGTTCTCAAGAACCGTGTGTTATGGAGTTCACCTGAGCCCTTCCCCTTCAAACAAAACAAAGCATCCAAACCAAGTTCAAATAATTCTAACAGTAATGTTTAAACCAAAGTAAATGTCAACACAATTTAGTAGTTCTCCTGTAAAATAGGCTTCTTGTTCTCCAGGTACTGGTGAAAATAAGAAGCCACCAACATCTGTAACAAGTGAAGTGAAGAACTCAGAAAGCAGCTCTGCAAATATCCAAGAATCTCCAGGTACAAATCTCAATGCACGCAATGCAAAAGCAGATTCTAATTCCAAATGCAAGGATCCTTCAAAACTTGTGTGTTCCCTTTCCCAAGTGCCAGAGAATATCCAGCTGCAGAAAACAGCATACAGCCAACTTATGAAGCCATCTAGTGATATCCAGCTATCAGGAACAATCCTAAATCCCGAAATCCAATCACCTTCTAAGATGGGCACACAAACTAAACCAGTGGTATGCACACAGCCTCCAATTCCATTCCTCCGCCATCAGCAAGGCGCAGTCCAAGAGACTCAAAAACGAGAACAGTTAAAACCATCTGCTAAATCCTCTCCCCAAATGCAGAATATTCAACCCTTTCATCAAATCCATCCCCCAAATCTTGAAGGAAATGTTGAACTTGATAGCCAGAAATTATCTACACAAGGTGTATTTAGAAAACCCTCTGCTCCTTCTTTAGCTCAGAAACAAACTATTCCAAATAAATCTCAAAATCCACCTGTTAAAGTGAAAAAACCTGTGCAAAAGCCTCTCCAGAAAACTCCACCAAATCCTAGTCAAATACAGCTGTCTAAAACAGTTTTGAAGCCTCCAAACCAAGATAATCCCAAACCAGTTACCAATCCTCCAAAATCCCATATAGTAAGTTCATTATCTAAATCCCCAACAGCAGGTGTTACCAAGTCATCTGCAAAGGGAGAATGTGTGAAAGGGGAAATGAAATCATCTGATTCTAAATCTTCAATGATTGCTACAGGTGCAGCTCCAGCTGATGAGCAAAATGTGTCTGCTGGGAGTTCATCAGCAGATGCTGCAAAATTGCCAACATCAAACGCTTCTGGAAGGCTTTCTTCAGTGGCACATATGCAAGCAAAAAAGCAGATGTCTGATAGTGTGAGCTCCAAGGAACCGTCAGCAACACCTGCAACTCAGCAGTGTGGTCTAGAGATGCAGTCTGCAGGACCAGGAGTGCCAACAGCCAGTCGGGGGGCATCAACTCTTTCAACATTTGGAGGGGTATCATCTCCTTCAGGACCTCGGCCTAGGACCCCAGGTGTGCTTATTCAAAGACCCTCTGCACCAGAAAGGCTAAGATCATCCACACCACTCTCATCACCTGCAGCAAGACAAGCCACTCCTGATTTCCAGGGACAGAGAACTATCACTTCTCAGAGTGCAGCAACTGCAGAGAAATCTACACCTAAGTCTGCTGAAAGTATTTCAGCTGAACAGAAACCAGCAGTTGGAAAGCTTGTTTCTGAAGATCAGAAATTAAAAGATACATTGTCCACTTCTACTCCACAACAACCATGTACCCCTACTCCAGTATGTTTTCCTGAAGCTCCACCAAGAGAACAAAAGTCAGATGATGAGAAAGAAACAAGAAAGCCAGATTCCGCTGCTACAACGGCTCAGAAAACTCCTGTGGTTGCAACAGAATTGGCTGTGTCTGACCCTGCGTTTCAGAAAATTGTTCCCAAAAGCTCTGCTCAGGAACCTAGTGACACAGGAGCAGATGAGGAGCAAATATCTTCAGAAAATTCAATCCAAAAGCCGGTAGTGATAGCAACAGGTCAGAAGCCACCTTCTTCAGTACAGACAGGCAGAACAACAATAAATAAACCTACTACTACGATTACTGCTTCTGCTGATGCTGAAACTGCATCGCAGAAAGCAACAGTTGAGAGAGTACCAGTACAACAATCAGCTAAAATTGATCCAGTAAAAAACCCAGCATCCAGAACAACACAGAAAACTGCAATCCCTGAAACATCCTCACAAAGACCTTCTTCTGTAACACCAGTGCTGAAATCTACAGAATCTGGCAGACTTGTACAGAAACCTGCAGCTCCAGTGACACCTGTACAGAAACTTCCAGATCCGGGTACACCTGCGCAGAAACGTGCAGTAGTTGGGACCCCTGTTCAGAAAAAAGCAGCTCCTGGGGGACCTGCTCAGAAACTTGTAACTCCTGGCACATCTGCTTCTGAAACATCTGCAAAGAAACCAGCACCAGCGACACCTCAACAGAAACCTGCAGTCCTTGGGACTCTTGCCAAGAAATCTGCTCCTGGAACACCTGCACAGAAACCTGCAGCTCCTAGGACACCTTTACAAAAACCTGCAGCTCCAGGGACACCTGTACAAAAACCTGCAGCTCCAGGGACACCTGTACAAAAACCTGCAGCTCCAGGGACACCTGTGCAAAAACCTGCAGCTCCAGGGACACCTGTGCAAAAACCTGCAGCTCCAGGGACACCTGTACAAAAACCTGCAGCTCCTGGAACACCTGCACAGAAACCTGTAGCTCCTGGGACACCTGCACAGAAACCTGTAGCTCCTGGGACACCTGTACGGAAACCTATGGCTCCTGGGACACCTGTACGGAAACCTACAGCTCCTGGGACACCTGCACAGAAACCTACATCTCCTACAACAACTGCACAGAAAACTGCAGCTCCTGGATCACTCACACTGAAGACCACAACTTCTGGGACATTTTCTCAGAAAGCAGCTGCTCCTGGGGCACCTGTTCAGACTCTATCAGCTGGTGGCCCGTCAGTTCCTTCATCCCCTGGAACACCTACTTTGAGATTGACTACTGAAAAACCTACACAAAAACTAGCAGTTCCTGATGCTGGTGTGTCTCCTGGCCCTCTTGTTCAGAGGCCTACCCTTTCTGGACCTACATTTCGAAAACGTACTAACTCAGAGCCACAAAGTGGAAAACTAACAGAATCAGATATTCCAACCCTAAGAAAAGCTGCTGCAGAAATGCTGGCTGAGAAGCAGGAATTGTCTATTCGTGAGACTCCTACCCAGAAGCCAGCAACTGCAGGAACTACAGTCGAGAAACCTGAAACCATGGGAACTTCAGTACCGAAGCCAAAAAATGCAGCGAAACCAGACCAAACGCAAGAAACTACTGCAACTGCATCCCCTAAACCTACTGCTGCCGCAGAGACTCCCACTGAGAAATCAGCAACTACAAGAATTTTGTATCAGAAACTAATAGGTGAAGCAACCACAGCTGAAAATCCCATTACTCCAGGGACTTCAAGCAAAAACACAAATCCTGCAGGATCTTCAACACAGCATCCTCTCACTACAGGTATTATAGTTCAGAAAAAAGATGCAACAGCAGCCCCGGCCCTGAAATCCATTGATGATGGAACTCAATCCTTGAAACCAGGTGATGCTAGTCCAGCCTCAAAATCAGCAGATGTTGCAACTCCAGCCCGGAAATCAGCAGATGTTGCCACTCCAGTTCCGAAGGCAGATGCTGCTGCAACCCCAACCTCAAAGCCAGCCGATGTTGCAACCCCAGGCCCCAAACAAGCTGATGCTGCAACTCTAGGCCTGAAAAAAGCAGATGCTGCAACTCCAGCCCCGAAGCCAGCGTATGTGGCAACTCCAATCCCGAAGGCAGACAATGCTGCAATTCCAGCCTCAAAGCCATCCCATGCTGCAACCCCAGGCCCCAAGCGAGCTGATGCTGCAACCCCAGGCCTCAAGAAAAGTCAAGCTGCTACTCTGGGCCCGAAACCAGCTGATGCTGCAACCCTAGGCCTGAATACAACTGATGGTGCAACTCCAGACACGAAACTGTGTGATGATGCAACTCGAATATCAAAACCAGCGGATGCTGAAACACCAGCCCCGAAATCTGCTGATGCTGAAACACCAGGCCCGACACGAGGTGATGCTTCATCGCCAGGTCCAAAGCGAGGAGATGCCGCATCTCCAGCCCGCAAACCAGCTACTGCTACTGTTGCTGCTGCTGCTGCTGCTGCAACTCCAACCTTCAAAACAGCTGCAGCTGCTGCTGCTGCTACACCACCTCCAGCCCGCAAACCAGCTGCTGCTGCTGCATCTCCAGCCCGCAAACCAGCTGCTGATACTGCATCTCCAGCCCGCAAACCAGCTGCT